GTCCTTTCCTTACAACATGTCCAAAGTGTGTTAGACAGAGCCTCAGAATCCTTGCCTCCAAGGAGCCACCCGGTTTAACCCTTTCTAGGATGAATCTCTTTGTTTTCCTAGCAGTCCATGGTACTCTCAATACTCTTCTCCAGCACCACAGCTCAAAGGCATCAATTCTCCTTCTATCCTTGGTCATTGTCCAACTCTCTGATGCATAACAAGTGAAAGCAAAGACCATGGCCTGTATCAGGCATACCTTAGTCTCCAGAGAGACACCGATTCTCTTTAGTACTTTGGAGAGGTCCCTAAGAGCAGACTTTCCCATGGCAATACACCTTTTAATTTCCTGGCTACCGGTGCCAAGAGTGTTGACTGTGGAGCCAAGCAAACTAAAGCTATGAACAAACTCAATCTCTTCACTATCCATCCTGATGCTACCAATTGGTCCAGTGGTGAGAATCTTTGTCTTCTTGACATTGAGCCTCAATCCATATTGGAGGCTGCAGTCCTTGACCCTCTGCAACAAGCACTTCAGGTCCTCCTCAGTTTCAGCAAGCAGGGTTGTGTCATCTGCATATCACAGATTGTTGACAGATCTTCCACCAATCCTGATACCACATTTCTCCTCATAGAGCCCAGCCTCCCTGATAATCTGTTTTGCATACAGGTTGAAAAGGTATGGAGATAGGATGCATCCCTGGCGTACGCCTTTCCCAATTTTGAACCATGCAGTGTTCTCGAGCTCTGTTCTGATAACTGCCTCTTGGTCCAGGTATAGGTTTTGCATTAGAATGATCAAGTGTTCTGGGATTCCCATTCTCCTCAGAGTCAGTCACAGTTTGTTATGATCCACACAGTCAAACGCCTTTGCACAGTCAATGAAACACAGATATGCATTCCTCTGGTATTCCTTGCTTTTAGCTAAGATTCCTCTAGAATTAGCTACAATATCCCTAGTACCACCACCCCCTCTATACCCAGCGTGGACTTCTGCCAGTACTTTGCTGATGTGTTGTTCCAGTCATTTTTGGATAATCCTCAGTAGAATCTTGCTTGAATGCTTCCATATATTTAGTATTATAAAATTAGTCAGCATTGATCTATGCCCACTAGACCCCATATATTCAGGTCCCTACTGGATATTTCCTAATTTATTTACTCCTGACCCAATGATTTCTATCCTTTCTTCACTCAATCTACCCTTTAGACTTTTGTATGCATCTTACTAGTTATCATTCTATTTTTACAATAATGGTTTTATATAGTATTTTCCTTATGGGCCTAATTAGTTTACTCAGTAAACTGTTCTCTAGCCTCTCCCACATTGCATAGTAGTTTCCAAAATTGTTGTTCTTGAGTGCTGCATAGTTTTCCATTATGTGAATGTACTAAAATTATTTAATTCAGTCATTTGTTGTTGGACACTAGGCTGTTTCCATTTTCTCACTCTTGTGAATAATGCTGCAATGAACATAGGTATGCAAATCTCCATTTGTATCTCAGTTCTATTTTTCTTGGGGTATATTCCAAGCAGTAGAATAGCTGGGTTGTATGGAATTTCTATGTTCAGTTTTTGGAGAAAACCTTAAACTGCCTTCTAGAGTGGTTGAAACATTTTATAGTCTCACTAATGATGTGTAAGAGTTTCAATCTCTTCACATCTTCCTCAGTATTTATTGATTGCTGTCCTGTTAAACATTGTCACTTCTAGTAGGGTGAGATGGTATCATTGTGGTTTGATTTGCATCTCTTTAATTGCAAGTGGTATTAGGAAGTTCTTAGGTGTCTGTTGGCCATCCAAATGTTTCCTTTGTGAAAATTCTTCCCATATATTTTGCCCATGTTGTAATTGGGTTATTAGTCTTTTCTATGTAGGGTCTAGTGTTTTCTAAGTTTTTATTTTGATACCCTTGTCTGAGATGACATTGTCAAATGTTTCAGAAAAAGTTTTTGATGCACATAAGGACTTAATATTTAGACAGTCCCATTCATTAATTGTGTCCTTTCGTGAGAGTGCATTTCTGGCTGTTTATGCAAGCCTATTTATATATTATAGGCTAGGCCTTCTAAGTTTGATTCCATTTTGTCTCTTATGATCTTTATGGTTTTTTTTACTTTACCTCCAAGTCCCTGAATCCACCTTGAGTTGATTTTTATTTGTGGTGTGAGTTGTGGATTCAGCTCCAACTTTCTGTGGGTAGAAATTCTGTTTTGCCAGTACCATTTATTGAAGAGGTTGTCATTTCCTCATTTGATAGGTTTTGTTTCTTTGTCAAACACCAGTTGAATATAGATTGTTGTTGTTATTAAGTGCTGTCGAGTCGCCTTATGTACAACAGCTCAATACCCTGCTCTATCTATCATATGCCAATCTTATTGTCTCTGACACACCTACCCCCATTATCCCAGTCACTGAATCAATCCAGCTAATCTAGGGTCTTCCTCTCCTGTGCTGTCCCTTCACCCTCCCAAGCATGATGTCCATCTCCAACGACTTATACCTCCTGTAACGTGTCCAAAGTATGTCAAACAAAGCTTTAGAATTCTTGCCTCTGAGTAGCAGCCTGGTCTCACCCTCTCTAGGACGAACCCATTTGTTCTCCTAGCAGTCCATGGTCTATTCAAAGCTCCTCTCCAGTACCACAGTTCAAAAGTATCCATTTTACTCCTATTATCCCTAGGATGAGGACAATCCTTAAGTAGATGGATTGAGACAGTGACTGGAAAATTGGCAGAAGCACAGCAAAGATTGTGAGGATAGTACAGGATCAAACAGAGTTTCATTACCTTGTTCATGGGCTTGCTGGGAGTTGAATGGCACCTAGCACATAACTGATAATATTTAGATATAAAATATTCAAATTATAGAAGAAAATCCTACAATTTCAGTAAAATGCATCAATTTGAAAACTGATTTAATACTTTAAACAGTATTTCAATAAATCAAATAAATATGAAAGATAAATGAACACACAAAAAGATAATCCATATTATTAGTCATTAACTTCTTACTTCAAGTGGATTCCAACCCTTAGTATGCTCTAGGACAGAGCATACAAGCACAGCCGGGATTGTGAGGTTGGCACGGCTCTGGCACTTTTCCATTATTTTACACATGTATTTCTTTTGGTCAGAACCCATTTCATGGCATCTAAGTACAATACAGCATGACAAAGTAAAACTGTCCTCACAGGATTTCCAAAGCTATAAATGTTTAAGAAAACACACTGTCACTCTCATCATTAAGTATCAGGGCACTTTGCAAATCATTATGGTAGCTGCTGTTGTCTGGCGTCAACTTGGAACCTAACTGTAGCTGACCCTAAAGCAGGTTTTCAGAAGCAGTAAATCACACGAGCAAGAGATTTTCCAACCTTCTCCCAGGGAGCAGCTGGTAGATTCGAACTGCTTACCTTTGCATTAGCAGTGCATCTGCTTTCCATTAGTAAGCATTACCATTAGCTCTCTGCTAATCATTAGTAAAAAAGCAAATTTAGACTTACATTATGATCTATGAATGGAGAACAATAAATTATCAAGTACTAGTATAAATATAGGGAGCTCTGGTGGCAAAAAAAGCAAATTAAAACCCATGTTATGATTTAAGAATGGGGAAAATAAATTATCACGTACTAGTGTAAATATAAGGAGCTCTGGTGGCCTAGTGGCAAAAAGCTGCACTGCAATCCCAAAGGCATGTGGTTCAAAGCCACCAGCTCCTCCACCTGAGAAGAATGGACTATCTCCTCCCACGGGATTAACAGCCTCTGAAAACCCACTGGAGAGTCAGCTATTGGGTCAGTTCCGACGCTGCAGCACACAACAACAAACAACAGTGTAATTATGGAGCAACTGAAACATTCATACATTGATAGTATAGAGCGAACATGTTGCACTAAATTGGAAAAAATAGTTCGGTATAATTTTATAAAGTTAAACAAAAACTCTATGATCCAGCAATGCTGTGTGAAAATAAATAAAATGCTTTTTTCAAATTCTATATGTATTTATATCATTTTTATTTATAGTCCTCCTCCCCAAAAAGGAATTAACTCAAATATCTTTCAATAGTTAATATGTAACTAACTAGTCAGTGGTACATCTATACAATGGTGCATTACTTATTAAGATGCAAGTGGATTTATAGATGAAACAGTAGTGAACCTCAAATTCATTATGTTATAAAAACAGAGTTCAGACTCAAAAATGACAATACTCTAATTCCATTTATAAAATTCTAGTAAAGGTATGGTTAATTGGAGGCATTGGACCACCACGATCCTTTAAGATACGTGAGTGATAACTTGATCTCTTATAAAATGAGAAAAGATTGAATTTCAGAGAAGATATGAGGACTGTATGGCAACACGTGGATTTCTTAAATGATTACTCTTCAGAGTTATAGTCAATGAGAATCCAAAAAGAACTCCTCAGAACTTCTTGACAACAGCTAACCCTCACAAATTCTTTGTGTACCTTCAAGCGTACATGCAAACCAGTTTGAGAAACACCATTTTTATCTCGTATTATTCTGGAGTCTTGGGCAGATGATAAATCAATATATATTCAATGTTTAAATATCCTCTACCAAAAGTAAAGTATAATGATAGGCAATTACTTGCCTTTTCTTCTCTCTGAGGAGACTCTCAGGTCCTTACAAACAGAAATGAAGCTTTATTTGTCTTCTGTAACCTGGATCTCAAGCTACTCGACAGCACATAACAACAATAATCTGGATCACATGCAAAGCCAGAGTAAATCCCACAGACATGTCAGTTAAATGAGTGCATCTATAAATTTGGGGAAACTTGAAATTGAGCTTAGCAATTACAGAAATATGCTATGCATTTACTGAAGTAATGGCGTACAAAGACCTAATTTAATACTTTTTTTTTAAAATAAAAAGAATTCTATTTTTATCTGCTGCCACTGAGTTGATTACATAGTTCTGACTAATTTGGAAATTGTGCTTCTCTCTTCATGATCACAAGTATTTAATACAGTATTACCTGGTTTAACGGGGCACTGTTCACCAAGCAATTTGATAACAGTACAGTACAGGTCATCAGGGCAAAGACATTGTTCTTGTAGGAAATTGCTGCTCAATAAAGCCTGGATGCTCCGATTACAGCTCAATGAATCTCTCAACTTGCAAGGATTACCTGGATTTGAGAAATGTAATAATACATTAGTCTGAATATAATGTTGAGTGCCTCTCCCCAAAGAGGTTTCAGTTAATTAATTTAAGTAATTAATTAGTATAGGAATACTATGTAATGTTACTGCAGGGCATGCAGATAAGTGAATATTTAAGAACAGTATATATTTTGCTGTGTTTTTCTTAGGTTTTTTATTCCTGAAACTGAGTCTTATCTAAAAGGATTTGAGACTTTGTACAGTTGAAAACAGCTTATTTCCCCGTTTAGAATGTAAATTTTGTTATATTCATGATTATTCAAGTATATTCATGTAGTAAATTTGCCAGGTTATTTTTGTAATTTTATCAATTTTATTTGTTAGTTATTTTGTTAGACATTTTGTCATGTCAGATACTTTATTTTACATATAATGCCAAGACTATAATAAAATATTTTAAGTTAGCTACAAATTTATCATGAGAAATAAAGTAATCCTGGTCTTAGAAAGCACTTAATATGTATTTATTGATTTTTATACTTATGAATATTAAACTTTGCACTTTAACTCACAAAGCCATAGTCATCTACTTGATTTTTTTAAATTCTTTGTGAAGGTAAATATTTAAATTTCTTTTACGTGTGCATTCAAGAATATTTCAATTTCAAGCTAATGCATGAGGAAATTATGAAAATATTTAGTGTAATTTGCTACACATGCTTTGACATTTGTATACTAAAATACATAAATAGGCTATGGTTTATGATATACTGAATGTATTATTTCTAAATTGTCTTATAAAACGCAGCAGAGAGCCTCAGCACTGAAATAAACAAAAGTTGCCTTTCTTAACTCATTGTCCTCTGTTCCTCATTTTAAAATCATGATGTTACTTTAAGCAAATTATGCTTCTGAAATTCTTTCTCTGAGTGGTAATTTGAATGTTGGTTTTGAGAACCATAAGACTTCTTGGAGTTTTTTTATCCTAAGCACTTCTTTAAAAGTAGGTAAAAGATAACTATGTGTGCTTACCTCCAAAACAAAAAATCCACCGCTTTCAAGTCGATTGTCTACTCATAGTGACCCTGTAAGACAGGGTAGTACTGCTCCTATAACTCATTATGAAAACAGACAGCTTTGCCTTTATCCTGAGGACCACTGACCTTTTGGTTATTAGCTAAGCACTTCAAGATCACTTAAATTATCATACCACTCTGGTTCCTTTGCTTCCCTCTACTTCCTATCTAAGCACATCAGGTGACTGTAGGGGAGGAGCTGTGGAAAGGCAAAGGAGCTCTGCTGGTAATGACTGTGATCATTGGCCTTGCTAGAACTATATTGCCATTTCTTTCTTTTTAAAAAAAATTTATCATAATTACTAATTTTAATGAAAATTTACAGAGATTTTGGATTTCCATTCATTCATTGTTGCACTTTTCTCCCTGCTCACCCTTCCCCTCCAATTCATTCTTATACCCTTCCCCTCCAATTCATTCTTCTCTTTGAAAAGTAAAAGAAAAGTTCTTTCATTGTTATACAATTCCACCCCCTCAAGTCCACTCTACTATGAAGCCTTCATTCTGGACTCATGTCAATAATGGACTCATGACAATAATACCTAATCATATATACCTTTCAAACAGTTCTCTCTCTCATCTGTTTCAATGCAGTGTGCATAATTTATCCCATCTTTCTCAGTCTCCTCCCAACCCCTTTTCAGTCTCATTTTGCAACAGTAAATTACCACCATGCAGTATTTGTCTTTTTGTGACTGAGATATTTCACTCAGTATAATGTCCTCCAGAGTTATCTATTTTGAGTAATATTTCATTAGTTCATTATTTTTCAATGCAGAGTAGTATTCCATTGTGTGAATATACAGCTTCTCTATCCATTCATTTGTTGATGGGAACTTAGGTTGTTTCCAACTCTTTTCTGTTGTTAACAAACAGACAATAAACATCAGCGTACATATGTCTGCTTGGGTGGCGGTTCTGGTTTCTTTGGGATATATTCCAAGCAGTGGAATTGCTAGGTCAAATGATATTCCTATTTGCAACTTGTTGAGAAAGCACCATACAGCCTTCCATTGTGGTTGCACCATTTTACAATCTCACCAACAGTGAATAAGGGTTCCAGTTTTTCCACAACTTCGCCAGCATTTGATGTTTGCTGTTCTGTTAAATTTTGCTATTTTTACTAGAGCAAGATGATATCTCATAGTTGTTTTGATTTGCATCTCTCAGAGCTAGGGATTTTGAACCTTTCTTCATGTGCGTGTTTGCTATCTGAATGTCTTCTTTGGTGAAGTGTCTGTTCATATCCTGTGCCCACTCTTCTATTGGGTTGTTTACCTTTGTCTTGTTGTGCTGCTCGAGTATTTTATAAATCCTCGATATAAGTCCCTTATCTGGCGTGTCATTTCTTACCTGACACACAGTATCATACTCCTTTGGGGAGATGAAAGGAGCACAGATAGAAAGGCACATGTGTCATCAGCCGCATACATTAACTCTATCGAGTTGTTCCCAGAAGAATAGTGATTTAAGGAATAATGTATTTTAATTTTTTTCTTTGCAATCTTCAAACATATATTCTAACAATAGAATTTTAATAATTCAGATTATCTTTACAATATTACCTTTTAAAGAACTTTTAAAATAGCAATATTAAGAAAAATTACCACTATTTATATGCTGTTGTTAAGAGGTATCGAGATAGGATGGATTAATGGTTGTCCCTCCAGTGAGTTTTCAGACTATGTAAATCACAAAAGAGGAAACTGTCCATCTTTCTTCTGTGGAATAGCTGATGCCTTAGGGATGATTGGCAGTACAACTTACCACTAGGCTACCGGAGTGTTTTACTGTGGGGTCACCATATTTTCCAACCATCAGCATGTTGCTGTTGTTGATATATGCTGTCAAGTTGCCTGTGACTCATAGCAACCCTAAGCACAACAGCTCTGAAGCCTGCTGTATCCTGAGCCAATCTTATTGTCTCTGACACACCTGCCTCCATTGCTCCAGTCATTGGGTCAATCTATCTCATCCAGGGTGTTACTCTACTGTCTGGCCCCTCGACCTTCCTAAACATAATGTCCTTCTCCAAGGACTGGTCCATCCTTGCAACTTGCCCAAAGTATGTGAGATGAAACTTCAGAATCATTGCCTCCAAGTAGCATCCTGGTTTCACCCTATTTAGGGCAAACCTGTTTGTTCTCTTAGCAGTCCATGGTATATTCAATAATTTTCTCTAGCACCACAGCTCAAAGGTATCAATTCTTCCTCTATCTTCCCTAATCATTGTTCAGCTTTCCTTTGCATACTATTTAATTGTGAAGATCATGGCCTGGATCAGGCGCACAATATTGTTGCTCTTCAGTACTCTGGAGATGTCCCTGACATCAGACTTTCCCAATACAATTCATCTTTTGATCTCCTGTCTGTTGGTACCCAGAATGCTGATCGTAGAGCCAGGAAAACTAAAGCTGTTAACAATCTCAATCTCTTCACTATTGATCATGAAGCTGTTAATTGGTGAGAATCTTTGTTTTCTTAATGTTGAGCTTCAATCCATATTGAAGGCTGTAGTCCTTGACCTACTGCAGCAAGAACTTCCAGTCCTCCTCAGTTTCAGCAAGCAAGGTTGTGTCCTCTGCATAACACATGCTGTTGATGAGTCTTCCTCCATATTTAATGCCTCATTTATACTCATAGAGCCCAGCCTCTGGATGATCTGTCTCAGATATAGAGTGAAGAGAAAAGGAAATAGGATACATCTATGGCATATACTCTTCCCTATTTTAAACCATGCAGTGATTCTTGCTCTATTCTGATTACTGTCTCCTGGTCCAAGTATTGGTTTCACATAAGCATAATCAAATGTTCTGGGATTCCCATTCTTCTTAGAGTCAGCCAAAGTTTGTTGTGATCCACACAGTCAAATGTCTTTTCATAGTCAATGAAACACAGATAGACATTCATCTGGTACTCTCTGCTTTCAGCCAAGATGCACGACCTCTTATAAACTCAGCCTGCACATCAGGAAGTTCTCTAATGATGTGCTGTTTCAGTCATATTTGGATAATTTTCAGCAGAATCTTGCCTTCATTTGGTATTAATGATATTGTTTGTTAATGTTCACACTTCCAGGCTGCCTTTTCTCAGATTGGGAACATATTTAGATCTCTTCCAGTCAGTTGGCCAGGTGGTTGTCTTCCAGATTTCTTAGCACAACTTGGTGATCGCATTCAGGCAGCCTCTGTTTGTTGAAATATGTCAATTGGTATGCTGTCAATTCCTGGAGCCTTGTTTTTGCTAATTCTTTCAGAGTAGCTTGAATTTCTTCCTTCATCATCACAGACTCTTGCTCATATGTTGTTTCATTAAATTTTTCAGTGTCAGTAAATTCCTTCTGGTAAAGTGACTCGGTATACTCCTTCCATCTTTTTCTAACGCTTCCTGGATAATTTAATCTTCTGTCCAGATTTTCAGAGGCAGTTAGTTGCATGGGAGGAGACTTCTCATCCTTTATAAATGGTGAAATCAAATGATTTGAAATCTTGCACAAAGCTATTTTCATTGTCAATACATACAGGACTTAAAGTGATCAAAATATTCTTTCCCAATTAAATTCACTAATAAGCTTTTGAAGATACCTAATGCAAATATAAAATTTGAATACGGTACTGAGGGGCAAGACTAATTTAATTCCTTAAGAAAATGAAATAAAACATTCAATACTACTTAAACATTATCAAAAGAAATCATGTGAGTGTTTTTGAGGTATCTTACCTGAAATATTGCAGGCATCTTCCATTGTCTTCCATGTATGTTTACATTCATCTGTGTCATTTAGGCATTGTTCTCTTAAATGTATACAATCAATAATTTGAGAGTTGGATTCATTTTCTAAGCATAGACCCATAACTGGAAAAACAACAATAAACGTTCAACATTACGTTGAGCCCCTGTTTATCCTATTTTAAGTTATTAATGACAATGGTAAGAACTAAGGGAAATCAGTACATTAACATTATTAGAGAAATTATTAGATAAAATATTAGTAGACATGAATAATGACCTTTCTTTCAGTTGTAGGTATATATTTCTCTTGTTTAAGATTCTCAAATGAATAGTCTACCTTTGTTCTCTTTATTCCCTGCTCATTCATCCCTCAATGTATCATTTATTTTTATCACCATAGCTCCATTGAAACTCTTCAGAAAGATGTTCCTAGTCACCTCCATAATATCAAATTTAATAGCTTTAAGATTTTTATGTCATCACTGAGAATTTTACTGACTTTTGTCCTCGAAACTCTCTCTTCCTTATACAATCCTCTTTTTAAGATTGGCTTCTTATTATCCAAGAAGTTGGAATCTATGAAGAGAAACGTGGCATCAGGATTGGAGGGGCACTCATCAATAACTTGTGTTATGCAGATGACACAATCTTGATTGTGGAATGTAAGGAAAACTTGAAGCACTTGTTGTAGAAGATTAAGGAATTAATATGTATCGATTCCTGTTTTCAATATTGATTGTATCTTAAGGTTGAGAAAACAAAGGGGTTTTTTTTGTTTTTTTTGTGGTTTTTTTAACCTTTGGACCTATAGGCAATATCATGATTGACGGAGAAGATATTGAAACTGTCAACAACTTAATCATACTTGAATCCACAATTAACACCTTTGGTACCAGCAGACAAGAAATAAGGACAGGCATTGCACTGGGGAAAGTCTGTAGTTAGGGACTGATGTTAGGTGCACCTGATACAGGCCATGTTCTTTTTGATCACTTGCTATGCATCTGAGAGTTGGACGATGAATAGGGACAACAGAAGAAGAATTGATGCCTTTGAGTTGTGGTGTTGGAGAATAACACTGAACATCCCATGAATGGCAAAAAGAACAAGCAGATAGGTCTTGGAGAGGATGCATGCTGAGTTCTCTTTGGAGGCAAGGACGACAAGGCTTCACCTCATTTGGTCATGTTGCTAGAAGGGGCTATTCCTTGGAAAGGGACGTGATATTTGAAACAATGGAGAGTTGGTGAAAGAGAGGAAGACCCTCAACCAGGCTGATAGACATGGTGACTTGTAATTGGCTCTAATGTGTCAGGAAGAATGAAGATGGCACAAGAGAGGACGGGGTTCAGATCCACTGTTGATGGGGTCACTGTGAGTCATACTTTACTCTGTGGAACCTAACAACAACAAAAACAACAGTGCGTGTATAAATAATGTTTGTTTGTTTGCTTACCTCTGTCACTGGGTTACAAGACTTCATGGACAGGCATTGTGTATCTTTATAATTATACTTCAGTTACCCAGAGACACTAATGCATTACAGCTATTGTTTAATATGGATTGACTTGTATTAAACTGAATAGTGATTTATAGGTTTTTCATAAATAAGCTACTGATAATGTTTAATGACAATAACATTTGCTAGATATTTACAATTTATTTTGGGGTGCTGTACTCTGTATAATATGACACAAGGTGACACAAGAAACAACATATGAGCTAGAGGCAATGGTGATGAAGGAGGAAGTTCAGGCTGCTCTGAAACACTTGGCAAGTCATAAAGCTCCAGGAATTGATGGAATACCAATTGACGTGTTTCAGCAAACAGATGCTGCCCTGTGTGTGTTCACCAAGTTGTGCCAAGAAATAATTACATGGCCAACTGACTGGAAGAGATCCATATTTATTCCCCTTTCAAAAAAAGGTGACCCGACAGATTGTGGAGATTATTAAACAAAATGTGCGAGGAGCTAGAGTCGGAAAATCAAAAGGGCCGAACTCGTTCAGCATTTCTTAAGCTCAAGGAACTGAAGAACAAATTCAAACCTCGAGTTGCTACAATCAAGGATGCTTTAGGCAGAATGTTAAATGATCC